CCCTCGTGTTAGGCGCTGCTACTGGGAGTGTTCAGCACTCCCGCTACTCAGACTCCTGAGTTTCAAACTGGATATGAAAAACAAATAACCTAAAGCTTGCCTTACAGAGTAGAACTGCCAGGGAAAAGGGTTATTTGGTGGTCAGGGGAATGCAAGGAGCCTTGACAGAGAGCTTTTCATGGCTATATATTTCACCTGGAAGCAGTGGCTTCAAGCTCAGCTTGGCCAAAGAGCCTAGAGTAACTCTACCATGCACAGGACCTGCACCTTCTGACTTGGAGAGTAGCAGCAAAGAGGGGGTTACAGCCTTGGCAACACTGGATTGTTTTTGTGATTTTATGCAGATGAAAGAATGAACTGAAATTCTTCCCTTGGGTGATGGGTGTATGGCAGAAGATGATAGGTCTTTGATGTTACATGTGACATTGGGAAAGACGAGGAAGGAAGAAGAATTGGAGTTGATGTTCTCATGCAGGATCATTCATCTGCGGAGCTATTGTATGCCTTTAATGGAATACACATGTGCATTAGGCCCCATGCTTTCAGTATGTACTGCAAGTTTGATGATTTCAAAGTACAGATACATGGCGCTTATGAAGCATGTTAAGACCAGTAAACTGGTCAGGGTTTCCAACACAGCATCGTTTGGACATCGAATACCTTAAAACTCCAGACAAATGTCAATGAAATAAAATATCTCATCCCATTCCAATGGCTCAGCTTATTACTGGGAACAAGGGTTTTGCACGTCCTTGCATGCAACTCGAGAAGTGAGGAAACATTACGACTACCTACATCCATTCACAAGTCCTAGACTGTCAGCTACATCTTTCATTCCCCCTTGTCCCTCCTTTCTCTTTCCCAATAATCCCCTCAAAACATTCAGCACAAAGTGACATATCCTTCTTTTTGGCAACTTAAAATGAAAAGTGAGGGACAACTCGTAACTATGAGATTTCTCTTTGCCATATGTGAGCTTAAGTTTGAAGTGGGTACATACACTGCAAACACAAAGGAGTGAGGTTTGGAATCCACCTGAGGGTAAATGGCTGTGAACCTCTGTAATGCATCATTACATGTTTCATGTACTTTTCACCTCACCCTTGGCAGGTTTATTACCACCAAGAGTTTTCCCATTTCAGAAAACAGCTCCTTCACCTTGCCATGTTAACAGCTCCTTCACCTTGCTGTTCCCAGTTTTGTGTCATCTTATGGTTTGCCCCAACCCACATTATTTTTAAAAAGCAGCAATACTTAAAAAACAAAACAAAACAAACAAACAAAACCAAACAAAAACAAAACAAACAAACAAAAAACCAAACCAAAACAAAAAAAAACCAACACAAAAGCACAGTAACATCACAAATGATAACAAGGATATGAACTTGCCCTTCCTTTATTTCTGTTCAAATCAAGCAATAAGAACAGTGGAAACTAAGTCCTGTAATTCTCAAATGCAGATCAAAACAAACCCTGACTTACTAGAATTTCTCTGGTAGTTATATTGCAACTTCCTTCTCCATTATAACAAGAGAAAAAGAAGAGCCCTCTGACACACTCTGCCTTCAGAAAGCCACCCCGAGGGAGTTATATTTGCTGGTAAATAACCACATTCTCAGACAACACTGTTTTTTAAAATAAAATATATTAAAAAGAACAGGAAAAACTCACAAAAAATAGCAGAACTTACATAAGCAACAATAAATCATCTATGTCTCTCAGCCAAGTTGAAGATGAGACCAACCTGGTATTAAAGCAAGACTTCCAAAACTGTACTCTTAATGTTTAAAATTTTAAAGTAGAATCAATATCCTACTGCCAACAGAACATTTTCTATTTCTTTATTCTGTCGAAATTGCCTTTCAAAAATATTTTGAAACAGTAAGACGACTCTTATCCTTTAAATACAGTCACCCCCTCACACACACTCTTTGCAAAATCAGAAGAAAATATTAAATATACAAACCAGAAATGTTGATAATAGTTGCTCTTAGCTTTGCTTCTGTTAATAGTTATGCCTCAAGTTTAAGACCTTTCTGAGCTGAAAGATCTTTTACTTAAAGTACAGTAAGTTTTACCACAGCAACGACAGTGAGAAAACAGTGTCCTTATTGTGAAGACAACATTTCATCATTTTCAGGTCTAGTTACAAAGTACTTTGAAACACCACATTAACAACTTAAATTCCTAACAAAAATCTTTTTGTAATAAATACAAAATTACAAATATTTTTCACTAAACACTGGTTCTAGGTACCAAAATGAAGATAAAAAGGTTAATTTTCAGAAATTGCATGTTACCTAACAGGAAACTTAAAAAAAAAAAAAAGGAAAGAAAAAAAATTGTTAAAAAAAAAACCCAAGCTTCAGGTCCCCCAATTTTTTCTAAGTTAAATTCATCAAAACTGAAATATCAAATTACAGTCTTGGTCAAAGGATAATGACTCATTCTTTTTTTTTCCTGTCTTCATATGTGTAGATATCACTATAGTCACTAAAACAACCAATTATAGATCACATAACTATGTCGCCTCTGAGCCAAAAGGAAATTCATTCACCAATTTTTGTTTTTCCTGTCCTTCAGCACAGAGTAAGTTACACTTAATTAGTCAGTCTTGGAGATGACAGAGCACCCAGTTCTCTTGCACATATTTGTATAAAGTAAGACTTCAGAGTCAAATGGAAAGCTTGCTCCTTTCTTAAACTGTAACCATTAATGTAATTTACTCTATACCAAATAGCAGCAGCCCCTGAATCTAATTTCTGGGCCCTGAGTTAATTTATAGAAATAAACATAGCTGAAAGTGGCAGTTGGGTAAAAAATGAGAGATACAATATTTTGAGTGACAGCAGTAATTAAAAATTGGAATAGCACGAAGTCCATCTTTATAAAGCATTGGAATAAATTAGTTAATGAAGCTTTTTCCTAATTACAAACTAACTTATTTTACTTCTAAATTACTTTGAAAAACTACATCTTGTATGACCTTCTAATGAAAGAGAAAGCTTCACAGAATCACAGAATATGCTGAGTTGGAAGGGATCCACAAGGATTGAGTCCAGCTCCTGGCCTTGCACAGAACCATCGTCAAGAGTCACACCATGTGCCTGAGAGTATCATCCAAATGCTTCTTGAACTCTGTCAGGCTTGGGGCTGTGACCACTTCCTCAGGAAGCCTTTTCTAGTACCCAACCACGCTCTGGGTGAAGAACCTCTTTCTAATATCCAACCTAAGCCTCCCCTGACACAACTTCAGGCCATTCCCTTAGGTTCTGTCACTGGCCACCACAGAGAAGAGATCAGTGCCTGCTCCTCCTCTTCCTCTCATGAGGAAGTTGTAAGTGCAATGAGGTCTCCCTTCAGTCTTCCTCTTCTCCAGGCTGAACACACCAAGTGACCTCAGCTGATCCTCATACGGCTTCCCCTCAAGGCCCTTCACCATCTTCGTGCCCTCCTTTGGACACTCTCTAAGAGCTTAATATCTTTCTTATATTGCTGTGACCAAAACTGCTCACAATATTCAAGGTGAGGCCATAACAGTGCACAGCAGACTGGGTCAATCCCCTCCCTTGACTGGCTGGTGATGCTTTGCCTGATGCCCCCAGGACACAGCTGGCCCTCCTGGCTGCCAGGGCACTGCTGACTCATATTCAACTTGCCATAGACCAGGACCCCCAGGTCCCTTTCCATGGCACTGCTTTCCAGCATCTCATTCCTCAGTCTGTATGGACACCCAGGGTTGCCCCATTCCAGGTGCAGAATCCAGCACTTTCCCTTGTTGAACTTCACATGGTTGGTGATTGCTCAGTCCTCTCATTTGTCGAGGTCTCTCTGCAGGGCCTCCCTGCCTTCCAGGGAGTCAACAGCTGCTCCCAGTTTTGTGTCATCTTCAAACTTGCTTAGTATCCCTTCCAGTCCTGCATCCAAGTCATTTATGAAGATGTTGAAGAGATGGAGGCCCTGTGGAACCCCACTAGTGAGAGGTTACCCCATTCACTATTACCCTCTGTATTCTACCTGTGAGCCAACTGCTCACCCACTGCTTTGGAAGATTTTTGTTGTTGTTCCTATAAAATCCTAGTTTCAAGTGAAATTCATTACACTGATGTGGAAACACATTGATCTCTTTACATTTTTAACATAGAGACAAGGCTGCACAGTCATCTGCTCTGGCTTGACACAACACAGGACAGCTTCACTGTAATGCTCACACACTGACTCCACTGCTTCAACTCAAACATGCCTTTTACAACTAAAAGGCTTAAACAACTAACAATTAAAGGCTTGAACAATGAAGAATCTTTGTGAACTTATGCTTTGACTCCCAGATTCTCATTACTATTTTCATTACTATTTTACAAAGGTGATTCAAAATACAGTAGTATTGCATAAAAACACTGAAGGCACTTGACTAATTGAATGAAGTCAAAGCTCTCTGCTTACCTTTTCAAGGTAACGTTTGGTAACTGTTTAACAACCCAGTTATCAGTGGATTTAACTCTTCAGACTGCCTCAAATTTAAACAAAATAATCATTGCTATTTGCTCTTTTTCTTGATAGTGTGAAGTAAAAAAACAACCACCAAACTCTCAGTTGTGTCCATGTAATTTATATGCTCTTGTCTCCCACACTTCATCCGCTGACTTTAACGAAGGTCTTAAGGCTTGTCTTAAAGCAAATAAACTGTGATATTTTTAAGACCACAGTAATTGATATCTTATCCTGCATGAAGCCTCGAAATTTTCAGGCTACAAAGGGCACAGGAACTCAGTTCCAATAACAGCATCTATTTCTTTCTCATGCCACAAACAAAGTAAATCACCCCAGATGAAGGAAGGTTTAAGTGTTGTATAATGCAAGAAGACTAAATGGGGGTGGGGATGGCAGAAAGCTTCTCTGCTGTTTTTTCCAAGAGAAAGGCAACGAAGTCTATATATTGACATTGACCAATTGAAAACATTTATGAAAAACTTCGGTTCTTAATTTACAAAGATACCTACCCCTATAATACTCAAGCCTTTCAGGTAGTCCTGACGAGGTTGGGCTTGTGGCACACAGCCTGCTACAACGACTTTCTTCTTCCCTTCTTGGGCTTTCCTAAAGAAGGACAAACAGTGTGTTAATAGTTTCTGAAAATTATCATTTTCAACTTCAAAGTAGTCATATTATGCATGTGACACAGGAAAGCAACTGCGGTGAAAACATTTCAAAATCAGAAGCAACTTGTACGTGTTTGAACCTCAGAAACCAAACAGATCAACACATGAAAAAACTCTATATGAAGCTCTCAGGCTACAGCACTCACGGTTCAATTTGGGGAGTATCTACGGAGAACATAACCACTGCATATCTTGGACAAAAATACAATCTTGAAAGTTCAGTTAACCTTTATTTGCCACAATGGCAGCAGAGAAACTGGTCAAGAAATATGGGGGAGAGATATTAACCTTGATTCAAGAAAAGTTACACAGAATGCAAGGGACAGCCTATGCAGACAGGAAGCTCTAGCTCAGAACAGACCCATTTATGTAGTACCAGTCAGAATTTACCAGTTACATCAGTCTTCTGATGTTCACTTAAAATGTTTATTTACTTTAAAATACGCAGTTACTTAGAAACATTTAAGCATATTGAGCACTTTCAAACCTTAAGTGCTTGCCTCTGGCAGAGAAGCATATGACTGGATATTAACTTACATAACTCCTTAGCTTTGATGCTACCTTAGCATCAAGTAAGAAACCAAAACTCTAAGATTAAATGGTTAAAGTGTTCATTTCATTCGTAACATTTTGACTCATTTTGAATTCAACACTGAATATCAAGCCTTGGAAGTAATGGAAGCCCTGAACAGAACTAGTGGCTGTATACGAAACACTGAGATGCAGAACCTGCTCATGTTTGTTAACTTTGAAGATCATCCATTAGCACATTAACCCAACATGACTACTGCATTATAATGTGCAAAACATTAAAGAAGAGAAGCACTGAATAATTTTACCAGACTTGCTAGGTCTAACATATTACGGGGTTGCTCCAAGAACGATCTCTCACAGTTGCATGTTGTATCACAATCTCCCGACAGACTTCTGTCAAACTGGAACCTTGTAAATCCATATTTTCTCCAGCAATGTATGAATTCATGAAGTGTTTACCGTTATGTTGGAATAGGCTACGACACGTCATAACACTTTTTAGAAAAATTATCCAAAAGACACAATTACTTAGACAATTTTATACTCTTCAGCTTGGTTGAGCTGTCTCCAAGCTGAATGCACTAGAGAAAGTGATGTTCAACAAGCACATGGATGCTACATGAGTATCTGTAGGTCCTCAGCAAAGGCAAGTTCAACCAAAGAAAAACAAACACCAAAACAAAACAAACAAACAAAAAAACCAACCACAAAAAAGACCCCAAGCTCAAAACAGACTAGTACCACACAGAGTTACGCTACTCACAGTTTTCACTTCACACTTACGAACAAATCTATTTGCAAATTATAGCTCAAAGTGAAATCTCACAATATTACACAAATTGTAATAATAAAGGAGATCACAGGCCATTTTGCCAAATACCTCGTAGTGGCTGCTGCACTAAAATGCAGTATTTTAAAGGAAAAAAATAAATATCCTACACAAACACAAGTGTAAAATAACAAGAAAATGGATTATGGCTATTACCTCTATCCAATATAAATGCAGCAAATCTCTATAAAGCATCCGATTTTGTTTTAGTGGACTTTCAGGAAATCTTCAAACATCCATCATACAGAACCTCACTGGTCCTCTACTTGCATGCTAAGGTGTATAATATGACTGCAAATTTTATTTCACCTCTTTCTTACTCATATTTCTGTGGATAAACAACTATGATGAAACACTAATTTAGTATTCTTCTTAGGTATGGAACATTTCTTAGGTAGCAACATGTCTCCAAAGTCTGCAATCCCTCTTTTCTTTCAGTGGTATATATTTAAGGGTTTTGCAATACTTCAATGGAGGTTACCTACTACATACCCATGAAAAAATAAACAAAACAAAACAAAAATTGTACTTCATGTATAACCTAAAAATGTCACATAGCACCATGTGACACTCCACTAACTCAAAGGATAAAAATCACTACTTATATAGTTTTACAGACTCAGCCTAGTGCCTGGAGGCAAGACAATAAGCCCTGTCTCCAGCAAACAAAGCACATGTCCCTAGGCAACTCAGCATCTGGTATAATCTGCTGCTAGCAACAGCCGTCTCCATCTACTTGAAAACCTGTGAGCACTACAGAAGAAAAAGCTTTCATTCAAGTCTTTTTATCGGAGAAAAAAAAATAAACAAAGTTTCCCCTGACACATTAAATGGCATTTTAATGTTATTTCACAGCTTTAACATTTTGCCATATCTTCTGGGACTATAACTAGAGCTAGGGGGGAAAAGTTAAAATGAATATTCTTCATAATAAGCATTGCCTGCATTTAACTTTTTTAAAGTTGCACAGGTCTCTACAGAATAAAGAATTTTGTACATTGAGATTTTTTCCTTTAAAATGCAATTAAGTGGACATGCCAGAACTAAATTTTCAATCATAGCCAATTTTCATTACATCTATAATAAACCATACAATACATGAAAACCATCATAAATGAAAAACCCTCGTAAGGAAATGATGAATTTTTTTGCCTCATTTTCAAGAAACCACTTCTCAAAATATGCATTCCACTACTATATTGTCACTTCCTTTTAATATTGTTTAATAAGCCCTGTCCATATTAACAAAAGTCTACAAAATTATTCTTCAGAAATCTAGTTAGCACAAGAACTGTATTAGAAGAGCCTTTATCCCTCCAGAACATGAATAGTAATGAGAATAATACCTCATGGAATCTGGTAGGTGGCATGAATAAAAACATCTTCTCTTTTAGAACCCTTTCTATTTTTCAGTTACACGAACCTTACCTTGAACTTTCAATTTAATTGATTCAGGAAACATCTTTTAGAAATACACTCTTCTCTAAAAAACTACTTGCAAGGTATACATCTGAATAGAAATTTAATTAGAGCAATTATTTTTTTAAAAAAGCAATTATTCAAGCTACTTCCTAAGTAATGGGTGGAGAACAAAAAACAAGTGAGAAACAACAGGGGCATGAAGTACTGCATACAGTAGAGGACTCATATAAGATCACAGATTATACTCCATTGCATAGAAACAGCCACTGCAACTATAATTGTACTATCAGACTTAATGAAATATGTTCAATTTATTCTGCCTGTTACAAAGCAAACTTAAAAATGTAACTAGAGAATTCCTGCCTTGCTTATGTGCACTTTCATTTATGCTGTTAGGAACCTGCTCAAACTGGAACATTCTGCTCACAATTTTACATAACATGTTGTTGCATTGATCCTCTATTTTTCAGTTTTCAAACTCCAAGAAAATTTGGCCAGTAATATGACAAAGAAACACCTGTCATCCTCAAAAAAAGCACCCCCTAAGTGTTTGCTACATCTGCACTGTGTGTACAGCAACAGTGCTGGATACCATGGCAGCCAGTGTAGGAAGCTGTTCCACTTTTTCATGACTCATACGGCTACTCAGGTTGAACCACCACAATAAAAAGTTAGGGACCTTTCCCTGAGGTTCAAATCTGAGGAAGCCAATAATAAAGTGGAAGCAGAGAAGATGGGCCAAGTTCAACAGAAGACAATCTGTGACACTGAAAGTAATTGATAACTTGCTCTTTGCTGGAGGGACAAGAGAAGCCAGATCACCACCACTCACCTGCTCACTTCCCTTTCCATAAGCAGAGCTGCCCACTGGACACTCATAAGCTGTGAACTATTAAATGAGTAACTCATAGCTTTCAGAGAGCCATCACTACCACCCACCAAAGTATTCCAGCTGCACAGGAAGGCTTAGCAGGCCTCTGAAATCAAAAGCAGTCTGGTCTGCAGTGAGGTAAGCTGACAGACTGGTCAGCATGAAACAGGCAGTTTGTAAAGTGCTGCTCTAGTACCAGATATGTGAAACCAAATATTATGCCTACAATCCCGAATTTTTTTCCTCCAAAACCCATTGTTGGTGGAATTAAATCACAAAAAAGTGTATAAACAATGAGCAGAAGGCTGCTGGTAGCAAGACAGGTAACAGTCAAATACAAATAAGAGTGGAATTTTCAGCAAAAGCAATAAAATAAGGGGGAATGTGCTTTACAGTCAGCTTGTTAAGCTTTGCATTGATAGTAGTTGGGAAATGTTTAAAAATAATAAGAAGAACTATTTCTAATGCTAAAGTACAGCAAGAAGTAATTTTGTTATCTGAAATGAAAAAGGAATTATTTCAACCTGAATCCAGGAGATGACAACTGACCATACTCTCAAGTAAGTTTTTACACCAATGAAGTATCCCTACCAAACACAGTACTCATCTCCTCACTGTTGCACCTGCACAAACCTGGTAACTTTCACATAACATGAACAGTTAAACTGAACTGTGCAACGCATCAGAGTAGTCTATTCATGCCATTGTCAGGGCCTCCTATTACACAAAATATACAACATTCCTTATCAGGTATTTTAGAAAGGTGTGAAGCCATAAATCAACAGGACGTTTGTGTCTAGAAATGCCCAAAGAAATATTAGTATACATGAAAAAGTTCTGCTACAGTAGCTCTAGCTGAATGCAGTATTAGCTGGGTATATGATGAGATCAGGCTGCCAAACATTATAAAAAGTAAAACTGAGGAGATGCTACTTCCCTCCAGAAATGGTGTTGTGATGTCTCTGAGGAAAATGAAATGATATTTGGCTAAAGATGTAAGTATGTGAAAGATCTTCCAACCATCACATCTACTGAATTAATCAGCAGAAAGCCATAGGTTTTAAAGAGAGCACAACACCCCTGGAATGAAAAGATGGTGCCTGTATAGAATTTGGAATACATTGCTGAAAGTCCATAAAATCACACAGCTATTTTCTGTTTGAAAAATTACAAATTGCAACTTAAATTGTAGCTTTACAGGCTTTGAGCCAATTTAATGTCTCATTACTATCCAAAGGCTTGCATCCCATCCTCTCTGCTGCTGCTAACTCCTACCTTTCTC